ACACACAAGAAGAAGAGGAAAACGGGGCACAACATGAAGCGAGTACAGTGCCACATCCTGATGGCCAGTGTGAAGAGGATTGCGAGATGTGCAAGCTTAGGTGTGATGAAATCAACCGTCTACTGGAGGAAAATAGAAATCTGAAACGTAAACTAAGTTTTTATTCTTTGTTGTGCTATGTAACTCCCCTTCTTCCAGAGGGGAAAAGAAAGCTTACTCCGTTTCAAATGCTACTGATCACTCTCATGCATCTGAGATTGAATCTGCCATTGCAGCACATCGGTCACCTATTTGATGTGCACAGAGGAACAGTGAGTGCTGTATTTCACCAAACTATTAATGCTCTGTATGCATGCCTGGCTCCAATGGTGCATTGGCCAGACAGAGACACTTTGCAAGCCAGTATGCCACATAACTTTGTTGAGACATTTGGTAATCGAGTAGCTGCCATTATAGACTGTTTTGAGGTTTTTATTAAAAGGCCATCCAACCTTCATGCAAGGGCACAAACATTTTCACATTACAAGCACAGCCACACACTTAAATACCTAATAGGTATAACTCCTCAAGGAGTGATTTTGTTCATTTCCAAAGGTTGGGGTGGACGAACAAGTGACAAAAGAGTAACAGAGAACTGTGGCTTTCTGGATAAACTTCTGCCAGGTGACATGGTGTTGGCAGATCGTGGTTTTGACATCAGGGAGAGTGTGGGGATGATGTGTGCTGAAGTAAGAACACAAGTATTCACAAAGGGTCAGTGACAGTTGGACGCAAAGGATGTGGAAGAAACAAGATCCCTCGCAAACCTGAGGATCCACGTGGAGAGAGTCATCGGTGTTGTCCGAAACAAATACCGGATACTGTCTTCAAAAATCCCCATTGACATGGTTTTGCCATGTGAAGGTGAGCAAGTCACATTATTGGACAAAACTGTTGTGATTTGCTGTGCTCTCACAAACCTGTGTCCGAGTGTTGTGCTGGGACAGTGAGGCTACTGGTGAAAACTTTTGTTACTGTTACTGGTATGTTTTCATAGATAGTACACAAAGATAAAATAACCAGTCAAATAATTGTGATGAATGATTGACCACTGCTTTATATTACTCTTTTTGCAACTTTGTTTTTAATGTGTCTGGTATGTTGTCATAGATGGTGAGTAAATGTACAGTATCTCACATAAGTGAGTACACCCCTCCCATTTTTGCAAATATTTTATTATATCTTTTCCTGGGACAACACTATATGCAAAAATGGGAGGGGTGTACTCACTTATGTGAGATACTGTAGATAAAATAACCAGTCAGACAATTGTGGTGAATTATTGACCACAACTTTTGATTACTGTTTTTGTAACTCTGTCTTTACAGACAGCAAATTTCTTAAAGTGAAATAAAGACCTTACAAAGGCATTCAAATGTGTCTGTCTTTCATTTTAGTCATCAAACAGGTAATAATGAATAATACCCATATAACTAGCTAGGTCTAGCAGATATTTTATTGCCTCTTTTTTATCATGTTTATCAGTGTAACAGGAAGATTTTCTAGTTGAAGATTTTCTATTTTCTAGTTGATGAATAAATATTTGTGGATGATCAATGAACACAAACTGATCTCAGGCTGGCTGACATGAATACTTTATTAACATTGTTATTTCAACATATTTATTTTAACATTCATATTTACATCTTTCAATAGGTCAGAAAGGTAATGACTTAAGACGGAATCAGTTTTGCTACGACACTCTTTATCCTGCCCTGACATTTAGGAGTGGTCTTTTCTCTGTGAACTACCACTTGGTGTGCTGAGAGGTGTGCAGAGCTAAAATGTTAATTATCACAACTCTATAAAGTCTAGCTTTAACTGTGGTTATCAGGTGGCATTTAGTGTTAACACAGGAGGCAGTTGGCCTATTGTAGAGCCCAGCCAGACATGAACTTATGACTTTGAGCAGGAGCTACAAAACCAGATGTCATCTGCTGCAGGTGCATCCTTGAGTCCAACACATGTTAAATGAAACCACTGGATTTTGCAGTTTTCATTATCACATGCAACCATGTCATCTTTATGTTCTGGTCCATGACACAGACACCATTGTCTTTCCTTTGCATTTTGACACTGTTTTCCGTCCCTCTTTTTCCCCTTCTTCATGCTGTGTTGTTGCAGTTCCTTCAGAGGCCTTCTCTCTGACACTTGGGACACTGGCTTAGTGTAGTGCTGTGCAACCAGCTCTGGCAAAGATACTGCTGTGAAAAAATGTTGTGCCTTCTGTAGGTGTGCCCTCCAAAACTCAGGGTTTGGCAGTATACGCAGAATAGCACAGTCTTTGAGTGTCCAAACTACAAAATCACAGTACTTACTATCTGTAACAAATATTTGTGTTTGGACTTGTGCATAGTAGGGGTGTCCATGTTTTAGTTGTAATTCCCCATCAACAAGCTGAAGGCAGAAGTTACTGTCTTTGGCCAAACAAGCATCATGGATGGTGCTGTATTTGTATTTGGAAGGACATTTAATCTCTATGCAGCCTTTACCACAACAAATGCACCTCACTGTGCCATCTGGTGATGCTCCTACTTCAGGGAAAGTGGGGTTGATAAAGAATCCACATGTGGCAACCTCTTGACTGTTGTGTTGTCCCCTGGTTTTTTCAATGTACGTCTTCATTGCCTCTCCTTCATTTGTTATGCCCCAAGACATATCGGATGTGGTAAATGTGTTGTCCTTAGGATAACAAACCTTTTTTACTGTTGACAGAGCTGGTGACTTCAAATCCGTTGCATAAACAGCATGCATATTGGAGGCTGTAATCCTGCCAGCTCGCGCAGAAAACCACAATGAGGATTTCTGCTGTTTTCGTGTGCACCTTTCTATCTGTTCTGCTTGTTTCTCTGACACTTCAGCTTGTGATTTTAGTGACTGGCAGTGCTGTTCCAGAACTGACTACTCACATCCAACAATACTAGTGTCACATAGAGAGACAAGAGATTTCGGTTTTGTTACAGGCTGCACAGGATCTCTGAACTGAACAATCCCCTTTGATCTGACATCAGATGTGACGGGACAGTCGATATAGAGATACATTTATATGCTGATTGTTAATGTATGCATCATTAATGTGCCTGACATTCTGGAAACCTGCCTGTGAGGTTTTGGTGACGTGTGCACACTGTCCGCCGGTCAGCCAAACTTCGGCTTACACCGGCTGCGCTCTGCCTGCGCTGACAGTAGACCTGGTTTCAGCTGGCAAGCTTTTAGCGCACCTTTGGCAAAGCCTTTTGGCACGAAACTGTCACTGCGCCAAGCTGGATCTGTCGACACCTCCCCCTGCTGCGCCGCCACACCCATCTCAGCGCACCTTGGTCTGCCAAACTACCAAACTGAGCGCAACTCAGGTTGCGCCGCTCGAAACTAGCTCTGCGCGGGGTTCGCCACCCTGCACCACCCTTCGCTGCGCCGGGAAACTAGAGCCCATTATGTCACTTTAGGAACATTGGTATGATGCATATAAAACATGCTAATGTAATGTACTTGTGGTTTGCAGAAATGTACAGTGCCAGCATTTTCTTCTGGGGACTGGACTGTTTCCACAGTGCGCTGCAATCTCAGAGGGCTTGATTTGCTCTGTATACTCTGTGTTTTGCTTACATATTATCTTTGTGCTATTTATTCCTGGTAAATAGTAGTTATTTTGAGTGCTTCTCAGTGTTTCAACTTTCATAAAAATGACTGTAACATTGATTCAGCTTTACCATAAAGTTGAATTAACACCTCTGGAGAAGTGATCTTAGCAAGACCCGAACATTAAAACTGTCATGAAGGTGGGACTGACTGCAGAACTGCTTTATTAGACTGTACTAGTTTTGACTAGGTGTACCTAATAAACTGGCAGTGTATACATATACAGGCTTCTATGGAAATGACTCATTTGTTTGTATTTTTGTGGTTGTTTAAATTCTTTTAGCTCCTTTGGGTTGTGGTAAACCACCATCACTTCTAGATGGAGACATCAAGACATCTCTTCAGTTCCAGTACAGACATAATGACAGGGTTGAATACATCTGTGAGAATTACTACACTATGGAGGGTCAGCCTTACAAAACCTGCATCAATGGTGAATGGACTGGACAGATGAGATGCCTCAGTGAGTTACAACTCCCTTTATATTTTCCATGTTGCATTCTGTGAAGATTCAGCAACACGAGCAATAATCAAATACGCAGTATGCTGCAGTCATTCCCCATTAATAAAATGCTGCTCATCTTTTATCTCTTCCAGAACCCTGCACTGTGGACAGAGACGCCATGAACGTACATAATATTGCCTTCAGATTTATATATGACGATAAGCTGTATTCAGCCCATAATGATGAAATCGAGTTCATGTGTACAAGACGAAGAACACTTGTTGGTAGATATGGCCTGCGTCAGAAGTGTGTTGATGGTGCGATGCACCTTCCCACTTGCCAGTAAAGCTTTTTAGTCAACTGGATATGATAAACATGAGCTGGCTGGACAAACATGTAAATGATTAATCAAAGTAAATAGTTAGACCAGTGATGTTCTCCTGATGCAGTGTCTATACTTTAGTGCTGTGTGTGGTCATTTTAATAAAACATATATCTTCCCTCAGTCTGTTTTGTGCCTCTGTATGTATGATGAGAGCAAAGTCTATGTCTTGATTTGTTTTTAATGTGCTGAGAGGAAGATTCAAGTCAGCTTTTCTGGAGAAAAGTGTTCTTCTCTAGAAGAGAAAAATACATACAGTAATATCCAAAATTAGTCCAGCACAATAAATTAGAAACCTGTGCCCAGTTTCCTGAAAATGATTGGTATTACAAGTAAGATCATTTTTAAAGACATTTCTACAAATCTCTGAACAAATATGCTGTGTGCACGAAGGATGCTGTATGTGACTTCTGGAAGTTCCAGTATTGCAAACAGTACGTGTGTTGCAATGTGACCTGCGTTGTACAGGCCCACTGGACAGTCCATGTTGTGAACCTTGGAGCACCCTGAGGACTCAAGCACACAGGAATTCTGCTCAGAAAACAACGTTTGTCAAAGGACCATGAGATTGTCTGTAATCCTTCTGCTTCTCCAACTGTGGGGGAATGTGGAAATGTCTTCATCACAGAATGGTAAGTAGGAGTGTTATTATTTAGCTCTGTGGAGATACAGTGTTTGGAGTAAACGAACGGTACTGTATGCATAAAGTAAAGAAAGACTCATATGAAAACTGCTTGTTTTGATTTTGTAATCTTGGTATTATATTCTGATGTTTCCAACTCTAAAAACTAGCCTTTGTGGACTATATAAAGTAATGGGTTTTGCAATACCTGATATCATCAAAAAAAGACCTATCTTGTTTGAAGCTTTGACTCATGCGGGAAGAATAACCTGTATACTATACTGGATTTTAAAATGGCCATATTTGCGTGGAATGTCATTAACACTGACTACTGTAAAGTGAAACTTTTGCAGTTTGGACAGAGGCCACTGTCTGTGACATTTACTGCCAACGAAATGGATACAGGTTTACAACCTGGTACAAAACCTGTGACAACTGTGTGGGGCCTGATGGGTCACTTCTGGCTTAGTCCACAACCCAGTGGGTGATGTCGCTGTAGTTTGGTTCATTACTTTAAACATTCATTCATTCATTTCCGTGCCGCTTATCCTCTTGAGGGTCACGGGGGGCTGGACATACAAATTGGTTGAGTTGAAATCATAATCAGATGTACACCACCTGCGTAAGAAGATGCACTGTGTCAAAATGCTGTACCTGGTGAAGATGATGTAACTGAAGCGATGTTCATGTAAATGATAATTATTTTGGGAGTCCTTCAGTGCTGTTGACCTCCTGTAATTATACAGTTGTGTTCGGTGTCCGGCTCCCTCTCATTCCTTTGTCAATCTGTATGATGAAATCTGGTGGTGTGGTGGTAGTCGATGAGGGATGAGGTGATTGTACCCGTCTACCTGTGTATACCCTCCACCCCCTTTGATGCATTCAATATAAGACTGCAGAGCTTTTCTGTTCATGTGTTTTGTTTTTGTCTCTAAGCATGTTCGAAGCTTCCAGATGTTCCTCACGCCCAGGTGTCAGATCAGCAACAGCAGTACCAAGAAGGAGACCTGATACAGTTCACTTGTAAACCTGGTTATACTGCATCAGTTCCAGCCATGAAATATTTATGCATGCGTGAGGGCTGGCGGGCAGTTCGTCAAGGAACATGCTACTGTAAGTTGACTGTCTGTATGTTCTACTCTTTCACCACAGACTGAGAGACTTCTGTTGTTGCTAATCATGTAGCAGGATTGCAGTAATGTGTTTACACTGTCATAAGATGTGTTTAGTTAGATTTTAAAGATCCATCACCATCCATTCATCACAAGTTATTTATGGGGGAAAAAGTAAGTCCCTTTCACACGCAGGATGAATTATGTAAATGTGTCGCAGTTTTAATCTGAACAAGCCCCTCAGTTGTTTTTCAAGGAGTTGCATTCTGACTGTCTGACCTAGTAATATTTCTGTATCATTTCTTCATAGCTCAGAGGTCATTTGACTTAACATCGACTCAGTTTTACCTTTAAATAATTAATTATTAAAAGCTGAAGATGCTAAATCTTGATCAGTTTAGTTCAGAGTCAAAGGCCAAATCTCTTGTGATCTCCTTGGCCGCAGAGAAGGCCTTTGACAGAATTGAGTGGCCTTATTTACTGGGAGCTCTCTCTAAATTTAACCTAGGTGACAACTTTATTAAATGGATATCTCTTCTTTATGTTGCTCCATATCCATCAGTTATTACTAATAGTATGAGGTCCCCTCCTTTCATAGTGCGGCGTGGCTGTAGACAGGGCTGTCCTGTTTCACCTTTGCTCTTTGCCCTTGCGATCGAGCCCTTGGCTGAAGCCTTGAGAAACGACCCATTAGTGTCAGGTATAGAGATAGGTCCCATCTGTAACAGGAAACCGATGGAATTGGGAGCCGGCGATGTTTTTATTCCCACAGCTGTTCGCACCATTTTGGTATTCCTCTGTTTACCTACAGCAGCTGACGTGGGTGTTTCGTGAGCCTGAGCCGGTGTTTGCGCTGTAGTAGTAGGTATATATATAGGGCTAGTACATCTTTTTCCTCACTAATAATAGCCTACTGGAGTTTTCGTTAGCCGTTGCTGTCTTGCGGGCCTGCACGGCGTGGTGATACTGGCCAAAAAATAGTCCCAATTGATAGCAAGGTCTGACGTAATGCGGGGATGTTGTAAAATTATTGAAATAGTCTAGCAAAACACATACATACTTTTTTGTAGCTTAAAACCTTTTGGTTACGTGTCCCCCTTATATCTTCAGAACTACTTTTTCTCCGGTAAGCTACGGGCCATTTCTCAGAGCAGGAGGCTCGTTGACAGTAGTGACACCGTCACATCAGAGCTACAGATGGTCAGCATTTCACACAACGTGGTGTCCAAAAACCTGAACTATCACTTTAAGGTCCTGACACACCAAGCCGACGGCAAAAGAACGAGCGGCGACGAAGCCAACTGTTTCGTCGTCTACATCGCCTCACGTCGCCCTGTGTCAGTACATTTGAACACACTGCACACACTACATCCAACGGCTAACCGGCCAACAGCCAGTTCTGCACGTGTGAGAGGAAATAACTCGGGAAACCAGAAGCCCGACAAATGCATGAAATATAAACAAAGAAGCTAGCGGTTGCTTAGCATTTTCACGCCACTCTCGCTTGTCACGGACAGTTTCATTTAGCTGATAAAATGTCTGATAAGTTGCAAATGGCACTGGCATTGTTAGCCCTTGGTCTTTTGCTTGTGGAAGAAGAGAGGAAGATGCCAAAAGGAAAAATAAGGAGAAACCGCACGAAATGGGTGAAATCATGGATACTGCAGCAACAGGCTCAAGGGGCTTTCCCGAACCTGTGTCGAGAGCTGGAGACAAATGAAACCTCTGATTTTAAAAATTTCGCTCGGTTCTTTCCTGTCCAGTTTCACGTATAGAAGGGAACTTGTCAGTCCGATCATCCAGAGGCAGAACGCTAACTACTATTGTATCTCCGTTGGGGAGCAGCTGATGATTACACTGCGCTTCTTGGCAACAGGTATGCAAGCTAAACGTGTCACTATATTAACAGTATATAGGTTATATACATATATATATATATATATGTATATATATATACATA